TATATATAACAATTTTCTCCATTAATGTTGTTTACTTATTGCAACAGTGCAACCTTATTTATCAAAGCCTCCTTGTTGGGACCATCGTGCTCTGCCAGAAGTGCTGCCTTGCCTGATATCATGAACAGTACAGCTGGAGTGATAGTGCCTTCGGTCTGAGTGGCAATACCTGGCATTCTCACAATGAGTGTCATATAGCATTTCCTGTTGGTTATTGGGTGTCATATGTGTGACCATAATGAGGTCTGACAAACCTTAAACTGAGTGGGTAGAATGGAGATTTGTACAAAACACGGTGCTCCCCTAAAATTCACAAGTCAGTGATGTTGCATACTTGCTCCTCCCCTTTGTTTACATTCAGAAGCAGAGCTGACATTGACAGCCAGTGTTCGGCGAGTGCGGACGAGGCGACAGGGATTTTTTCTCTTGTCGGGCTGGTCAGCATTGTGATTGGTGAGGGTCTATATTGCTGGATGATGGATTTATATCAAATAATTTTTATCTTATTTTTGAGGACAAGTGGCCTGGTATGCGCACAATCATTCCCCCACCTTTCCTGCCAGGCTGATGCTCAGTTTAAGGGTCTGGTTTTAGGGGGGACTCTACACTCTTTTTTTGCCATGGGGCCCCCCCTAAAATTCCTACCAGACCTAAAGGGTCTGGAGTCAATTTGGGGGGAACCCCTCACTGTTTTTTGTTTACTTTTTCTTCGATTGTCATGCTCAACAACATATCAGTTCGTTCCGAATGACATTCGGACATAATTCGGATGCATCTGAATTTTATAAAAAATTTGGATGCAACCGAATTCTGTTATCAAAAATTTGGATGCATCCGAATTCTGTTATCAAAAATTTGGATACGTTCGATTTTTTTATTTTTCCTATTCGGAAATTTGGATGCATCCGAATTTTATAATCTGCCAACTTTCGTCTGAATGTTAGTTTGGACAAAAACAAATGCACAATTCTAGTTACCATACACGTTACAACCCGACTGTCCAAGGTCAGTAAGGCCTCAGGTAGACAGTCTTTAAAAAGACTGTGTGTACCAAGCCTGCACTGGACTGTGCTCAGACTGTTATCTGATCTCAGAAGTTGATCATACGGTTTAGCAAACACTATAATGAGCAGGTGGGATGGCCACTCCAGGTCCTCTGAGTGCAGCCCACTGCAGGCAGGGCTTAGAAGTCCTCAAAAGTAACAATGGGATTTTGCTGTTTGCAGGGGGCTTTAAAAGATAGGGACTTCTGGTACAAAATATAT